AGAGGTGTCGGGAGGAGCTGGTTCTGGGCTCCTCATTTACATCGCTGGGGTTCGCCCGTGGGCACAAGCCTTCCCTCAGCTCCACTGATCTCCTGGGAAGATTTGTGAGCAAATTTGCTCATCCCTACCAGAGACTGAACGTTGTTACCTGGCTTTTTGCAAGAAATTACTTGAGTGAAGAAGGGGAGGGGGGAAAAAAATCAAATACATATGTTCTTTCATTTTCCTTTTTTTTTTTTTTTTTTTTTTACTTTTTATTTCCTGTGGGAATTTTTATTTGTTGGGAAGTCGTTTGGTAAATAAAATTTTTGTGCATATGCTTTCTTCATTAGAGAAATTGGAGGTGGGGATAAACAAATTATTTTTTCCTGTTTAAAAAAAAAGAAAAGAAAAAGAAAAAATCATTTCTGCAAAAGAACAGGCTGGCTGCCATTGAAACATTTTTGATAGAAAATCTGCCTGCAGCCCTCCTGCTTAATCAGTTTGGAGCAGAGTGTAGCCTGTAGCTTGTTAATAAGAGCAGCTTGCCCGAGCAGTTTGCACAATGGTGAGCTGCAGAGAGAGGCTTGTTGCATAGCTGTGGATTTTATTTTGCAAGCTCTGTTAATTAAAACATATTTTACTTTGAAGGAGGTTTTTACTGTTTTCTATGAGCTTGAGCAGAAAACTGTTCTCTCAGATAGATTAAAGGAGGGATATGAAGTATTTTTTTAGAAGGAACAACTTGGCTTTGTTTGATGGGCAAAATCAAAAATGGGCGAAAAACAATGTGTAGTTTCGTATTTTTATTTGTTCTCAGTCCTTATACACGGGCTGGTTTATAAGTTGGAATATTTTGGCTGTTTTGATAATAGCAGACTAAATATCTCACATACAAGTTGCCAGACTGAAAAGTCACAAATTCTCGTTTAATTGATAAAGTAATTTTTTACTTATACAAGGGTGTACTAAAATAATAAGGCCTGAAACTGTGCCACCAAAGTTAATGACAAACCCTTCATAGGTTTCTTATAAAACCTGTATTTTTATTATCCCAGTTCCAATGACTTTTGTTGCAAGATTGCAGCAAAATGTTAGGGCATTTCTAAGTGTTATTTTTATTATACAAAACCCCATTAAAATCAGTACTGAAGCATCCCATTAATTTAAATGGGACTTTGCATGGTTTGCTGAGTTCCAGGCCACAGATAAAGAGAAGTATGCAATTTGGAGTTAAACTGACCACAGCTTTTTATTGCAAGACATTTAATCTGGAGTGAACGGCGCAGTCTGAGGCACAAAGTCTTTGTGAACTTCATCTGGGCTGGTGCAATCGGAGCCTCCACGGTGTAGCAGCTCCTGGGTTGGTCGTCTGGGACCTCTCAGGACCATGCAGCATTCCCAAGCAAACCCAAGCAAAGCTCTCCCCAGGCAGCTTTGCCTTGGAAATGCTAATAGGTAAGCCAGCACACCCAGAACAAATGGAAAACTTGATGCGGGTATTTCTCTGGCTCCGAGGATCTGCTTGCCTGGACAAAGGGGACTGGGGAGTCTGGGGGCTCCCTGCAGCACCCGCGGGAAGGCAGGGTCCCAGCGGGATGGGGCAATGCCGGATCGAAGCGATGCAGCTTCGGAAATCCCAGTTTGGGCTTCGCGAACTGGGAGGAACGCGCAGGGCGAGGGATGGAAAACCATCGCCTCCGGTGCGTGGAAACACCCACCAGCCAGACACCGGCGAGGGGAGCTCAAAAAACAAAGGCAGAAGGGTGATGGGGAGCGGCATTTTAAGCGGGGGACACCCCTCTGGGGACTTTGGGGGCTGAGGAACCATAAATGACAGCCACCCTCTGCTGCCCCAGCGTGGCACACTCCTGGGCACCCCCAAGGGCATATCCCCAGGGAAGATGTGCTTGGGCAAGGCGGTCCCAAGCCATGCCTCCAACACAACAAAGCCCCAAAGAATTCAAACTCTAACCATCCTGGGGAAGACCTAAAGGCTGCTGGAAGCAGGGCATCCGTAAAAGTGCACAGGGAAGGTGTAGGAGCTCTTTTCTGCTCAGTGCCTCCTTGGAATTTTCCTTTCCCTGAGCCATAAATGTGTCAAGATGCCCAAATTTCGCCCAGCAGCAGCAGATCAGCTTTCCCATGTCTATTCACAGGGCAGGGGACACGAGTGAGGGACACCAGCACAGAAGCCCAAGCAGGCTGTGTCCCAGGTCTCCAACTCTTCCCTAAGTTTCGGGAGGGGGTGGGTGGTTCAGGACTCCGACAACAACTGAATCTTGGGGCAGGGTTTGGCTAAACCTGAACGCCGCTGCTCTGACTTAGGACTAACAGTGCTACCCCCAGGAACGGGAGAAAACGAACAACGAAAATCCCGGCTAAAATCCCAGCGAAGGGCTGGCAGGTCCCCTCCCGCCTGGAAAGACTGGGGGAAAATCGGTCCTCGTGCTGCTCTGGGGACACTCCCGTGGCTCTGGGAGTAGCCGGGGAGACTCCGATCCGCTCTGCCGAGGCCCCGAGTTGGGAGTAAAGCTCCGGGAAGAGACGCGGAGCCCCCCGAGGGGCAGAGAACTGCGATCCCCGGGGAATGGGCCATCCGCGGCCGCGCAAACAGCGCCTTTGGGTCGGGGGGGAGCCCCGGCCGTGGCTATTCCTGCCGCCGGGTCCGGCTAATTCACGAATTCGTTATATTAATTACGGCATTTGGGGCAAAATATTAATAGGAATCGTAATAGTCATTAAAGAGTAAAGAAATAGTAATTAAACAGTGATGAAATCGGAGGGCTTTGTGCTTGCAAAAGCTTGGCGGGGAGAAAAATAAATCGAAAAACCTTTGATATTCAGGATGCCAGAGAATTTGGAGGAACAAGAGAAAAACGCACCTTAGGAAGCCGGGACGAACGGCTGCGGGGGGGAAGGAGCCGTGCCAGGGCTGCGACCCACCGGGGGTGCTCCGGGATAAGGGGATTAACTCTTTGGGGAGGAAAAAAAACCGAGCCACTGCTCGAAGCGTTGGGATTTGTTGGGAGCAGCGATGCAGCGGGAAGGAGAGCTGGATGCCCAGCCCCGGCACACAGCGGGAACAGTCTGCCATAAAATCGGAGGCGGGGAGGGTTTCTACTGCCGGGGTTGCCCCTGGGGGGCAGGGAATGGGGGTGCCTCCCTGCCTGGGCGCTGAGGGGACACGGGGAGACGGCGCAATTACCGGGGAAAGTGTGTGTGGGGGGGCCCTTCCCAAAATACCACCACGGGGAGAGGGGCAGAAAGCTGCTTTTCTCCTTGTTTAGTCGCTCTCTTGAACACAGCCAAAAAGAACATTAAAGGCATTTCTAGATTTCGTTTTGGTTTAGTTTTTTTTTTTTTAAGTTTTCTTTTTTATTCCCATGCTCTTAATTTTGAAAAAAAAAAAATCACAAAACATAACTTATAAAACAATATATATACTGCATCCTTATCCACAACAGCATAATTGAAACATCCAGCGTAACGTTTACCACAGGTGTGAAATACACTGGGAAAGAAGTACCGTGTGCATTTTATGTTTCTTTGTCACCTACAGGTAATAAGTATCGACAAAAATAAGCAACAAATATGCCTGCAATTAAACTTCATATGCGTTTTGTATGCGTATTAATAAAAATCATATTTATAATTTCCATGGTTTGTATTTTTTTGGTTTTTTTTTTTTGCCAACAAGCACTTGTAAAAGTATCTACATTTACATAATAACACCTTAAGATAATAACACCTTAAGATTTTTTTTTTTTTGGTTCCTCGTTTTTCTTTCACGTTTAGAAAAGCAAGGAACACTTTCAGCTTTGCTAAGAACTTTTCCGGACGCCGAGGCTCGCTGTTTCTCTAGCAGAGATGCAGTATCTGAAATCACTTCATAATAGACCATTTTTCGTCTTTTTTTCTTTCTTTCTTTTTTTTTTTTTTTCCTAGACTCTCTGAAAGGGGGTTGGTTTTCGGTTTTACTTTTTAAAGAGAAAAAACCGACCCCCTGCATTTAAATGAAGATGAATGATAATTTCATTATCAGGATAAGACTTTGGATGGGGAAACAGATGAACAGTTTTCGCATCACTGAAGGGTTTCTGTGCTCTCTCACAGCCGGGGATACTGCAGTCTTTTGGAAAGGATGAAGAGGTAGGAACCTTGAGTTGCTTAGTATCAGGAATGACTGGATTATAGCTTCCAACTAAAGAAAAAACATCAAGAATCATGCATTTTAAAAACAGTTTATTCAACGGCCAAGGACAATGATCCGGCACAATGCAACTGTAGATATAAATATAACCTTATATAAGTGGTTGACCCTTGTCATTATTATTTTTAATAGTTCCATACCTAATATTTTAACCATTTTTTCCCCGCAGATTGTACTCTGCGACTTATATTTTTTTCCTCCCCTCTCGCCCCCAACCTTTTTTTTTTTTTTTTTTTTTTTTTTTTTTTTTTTTTTCCGAGTGTGATTCTGTTTCTCAGTGGTAAACATTAACCAAACTCTTCCCGTGCGACAAGCGGCCAAGAACCGTCCCACCAGCTCTTACCACCGAGGCGTCCCCTCCTGCCGCCCTCCCCGCGGGGCAGCGGCCGCCTTACCGACTCCTGTGCAAGTTCAAGTAAACACATACAACCCGCATAATCCAGAGAAAAAAAATTGCAACTCATCCATGTACCAGATTTCGATGTCTCTTGCAAAAGTTTTCTGGTCCGTTTACGGTTTTCGATGGGGTGGCTATTATTATTATTATTATTTTTATTTTGTACATTTTTAAAGCGCTGTTTTGTTGGTTGCATCATTAGTTTGAAATAATTTTTTTTTTCCTAGACGATCGAAGTCCGCGGAGCTTTTAGGGCTTTTGTTTTTGGGTTATGGTTTGTTTTGGGGGTGGTGCTTTGTTTTATTTTTTTTTCCCTCTTTCACTTGCTTGGGGTTTGTTTTTAATCATCATCGTGTTTAATTTTTTTTTTTTTTTTGTCTTTTCCGTGAAACGTCGCTTTGCTTCTGCTTTGCTTTGTCGGCGGTGCTTTGTCGGAGGTGGTTTGTGTCAAGTCCGTCAACTGTTGTACTGACAGGCGTTTAGACTAGAGCCGGGGCTTTGCAAACTGCTGTAGCCGAAACTGGAGTGCTGCTTTGATTTCAGTCTGAGGCTGGCTAAGCTGGAGTTGCAAGTGTCCCGGTAGACGCTGTAGGGCGAGCCCGGTGGCCCGTAGGGACAGGCCGGCGAGGACATGGCCGAGTTGAGCGAGGAGCCGCTGATGTTGTTGATGTTGTTGAGGCCGGAGTTGGCCATGCCCGGCACGGCCGAGTGGCCCATACTGGAGGGCATGTTCATGGAGGGGATGCTGCTGGGCGCCGAGAACATGGACTGCGAGGACAGGGGGCTCATGGAGTTGAAGAAGGTGAAGCTCTTGGTGGAGAGCGGCGCCGGGGTGAGGCTCTTGGTGGCCCAGTTGTTGTAGGGGTAGCCGGCGTACATGTCGTCGTAGGGCTGCATCAGCCCGCTGAACTGCGGCACGTAGCCGTTCTTGCACAGGTCCATCTGCTGGTTCCGCTCCCGCTTTCTCCACTTGGCTCGGCGGTTCTTGAACCAGACCTGCGTGGGGAGGGGGGACCGACACGACTCGGTGAGTGCGGGGCCGCAGCAGCCCCCCCTCCCCGCCGGCGGTGCGGGCATGACACCCGCAGCCCAGCGCCGGCTCCCCCAGGCCCGCACAGCCCCACCGGGATGCCACAGGAGGCTCCGCGGCCCCGATCCGCCTCTCCCCGCAGCCTCCCGCCCCCGCGGGACGAGATCCCGCTCCGCAGGGTGCCTGCGCGCATCCCTGTGTCCAGCGGGATGCTCCAGCCGGGATGGGCGCAGCCGCCTCTCCGCGCTGGGTGCCTGCGGGGGTGTCCGAGTCCCCCCGGTCCCCTCGGTCCCCCCCGCCGCCCCTTTCCCGGAGCCAGGCGGGGGGTGAAGGCACGGCCCGCTCTGATTAGGACCGGCTCGCCCCGGCTCTGCCGCGTTTCCGAACGCTAATGCCGTGTAATAAAAGTCCCCTGTTACAGATCATAAAAAAGGGGATTGGATTAGTATGTTTAGGTTGGGGGAAAAAAAAAAAATCAATCCCCGCATCGCCCTCGGATAGATGCAGCTTCTTCCTTTATATCTAACGAGAATTTACAACCCTGACTAGGGAACAGAGGAGCGGGGCCGCTCCTGGTGTTTGATGCAAAAACATGATCCAGTTTCTCTCTCATTAATTTTTTTTTTTCCAGCTCTCGGAAAGCGTTTGAGCCCCTCGTGATGGAAGCCGGGTAGCCCCAAAATTCTCTTTCCAGGTTAAAAATCAGCATCCTTCTGCCTGCCGCCTGCGCCCGGCCTGCGAGCCTCCCTTGCAGCATCCTCCCCACTGCACCCCGGCTTTCTGCCACTGAGCTGGGGCCCAAGGGGCTCCCTGCGGACACCGGGCCCCGGCCCCGGAGGCTGCGCTCCCTCCGGAGCCGGGGAGGGGGCGGGGGGCCGCTCCTGGGGCCTCCCCTCCCCTGCGCAGAAATGGCGCAACTATCATTAAACACCGGTCCCAAGGATGGAAACTTCGTGGGGGAACGGATGGCAGAGTCTATTTTAAAAAATAACAATAATAAAAAGAATCCTGTATAAATAGGAAACGAAAGCCAACATGTTCAAAACCTGTAATATACTCCTCGGAAGGTGCTTCCAGACAGGAATTTCCTGAAAATGAGGGTAATAGTTTTAATTATGGCTCCTAGACATTTTAAAGGAAGGCCCTCATAGCAAATTAAGGTTAGATTTGCAATCTGCAATCTCAGAACATCAAACCCAAACATCTCCACAGAGAGGGAGAACGAAATCATGTTAATTGCAACTCATATTTTAGTTTTATTTGCTCCCTGAAATATTCCGCCAGTATTAATGCTCGGGCTTTGTTTTGTTTTAAACTCAATTAAGACAATGCTTTCAGACGCATTTCCCTTGTTTCAGATGAGTATTTACTCTTTAAAGGTTTAAAACAGAATCTCTGTAATCCGATTTGGTCACTCGAGGTTTAATTGCCAAGAAAAAAAAATTAAAAAAAAAATAGAGAAAAAAAAAAAAAAGAAAAGAAGAAGTGGATTTTTCGGGCGGCGGGGCTTCGCTCCGAGCTTGCCGTTTTCTCCCGTGCTCAGCCCACGGTCCTGGGCTATGTGACCACGGCCGAAACCGCGAGGGGAAATGTCCCGGCAGGGGGGGGAGGAAATACAGTGGGGAGGTGGAGAAACCCAGACACAGCGACAGATCGATAGAGCCCGGGCCGCTTCGGCCCGGTCGTTCTTTGACAGGATCGTTCACTCATAATTCTCTAAAAGTAACTGCCGAGGTTGTATATATGCATATGTGAATATATACACACAAATATATCTATCCGTCTATCTATCTATATATATATCTGTGTGGGTCAACATCACCGAGCCTCGAATCCAGCTAAGAGAGGAGCACATATATATATATATATATAATATATATATATATATTAAAAAATATATACCTTCCATATGTATATATTTACACTAAATATGTATATATATATATATCTCAAAACATCGGTTCCGAGACGTGCAAAATCCAAGCACCTTCGCGGTACAAGTTTGTGTCTTCAAGTGTATCGACTTTGCGACCCCTCCCCAGCCCTCGCCCTTCGCTTTCGACCCCCTCAAACATCCACTCCTCCCGCGGCTGCGGGAGATGCGCGGCCAGGAGCGACCGGCACCGACACCCGCACGGCGGGGACGCCGCAAGAGCATCGAGCAGCGGAGTAGTATTTTGCAATTATTGGGAATAACCAGACCAAGAAGAAATTGCATGGATGGGGGTTGCTCCCGCTCCACAGGGGGTTTCGTCCTGACTGGGGGGTTCTTCCCTGCACAGCCGGGCCCTTCCCCACCCCGGGCTCTCGCTGTCCCCTGCACCGCTCGCCGCCCACTCTTCGAGCCGGTCCCCGGTGCTGGGCCGGCGGTCGCGGCCCTCTCCGGGCGGCATCTCCCCGCGGCCGCGAGCTGAATTTCTCTTCTCCGGCCTGGGTCCCGATTTTGGTCACTAAAACCCAGCCCGGAGCGGTCGGGCGCTGCTGCAAAGGCCTCAGCGCTCCCAGCCGGGGCAGTTTCCCCGAGCCCCCCATTCGATCCCGACGGCACTGGCGCCCCTCTTACCCGCACTCGGGGCTCGGTGAGGTTGGTCCAGACGGCGATCTCCTCCCGCATGCTCATGTCGGGGTAGCGGTTCCGCTGGAAGGTGGCCTCCAGCTCCTGCAGCTGCTGGCTGGTGAAGTGGGTCCGTTGCCGCCGCTGCTTCTTCTTCTTCGCCGGGTCGTCGGCGGCCCCGTCCTCGTTTTTCTGCTCGCCGCTGCGCTCCTTTTCTGCCAGGGGGTCGGGATGGGGATGGTTGGTTGTTTTTTTTCTTTGTGTTTTTTTTTTCTTTTTTTTTTGTTTTTTTTTGTGTTGTTTTGCTTTGTTTGTTTTTTTCCCAGCGCAGGCACACAAAGGCAGGCACCCCCCGACCCGCACCCAGCCCTGCCCACCCCACCGGAGGGACGCGTGGGGGCACCCACTCGTGTTCTGCTGGGCCCTGAGCCCAGCGAGCGCCCTGCAGCCCATCCTGGCCTTTCCCGGGGCGGCTGGGGAAGGAGCACGGAGCCCTGCCGGGCCCAGGGCACCCAAGGAGGCAGCGGGAGGGACCCCCAGAGCGTTTCGAAGGGGGTCCGAGGGGTGAGCGCATTCGTGGGGAGCGGGGTCCCCACAGCACCGGCCGCTCCGCCTTTCCACGGCACCTTCTCGCTCCCTCCAACCCCAGGCGCGATCTTTGCTCCATTGTCTTTGTTGTGCTCGGCCGCGGCAGGAAACTCTGGAAGGGCAGGAGTGGAAAACCCAGGAGCAATTAATTGCAAAAGGCCCCTCTCCGCTCTCCCGCTTCATTCTCTTTTTATTATTATTATTTTATTCTGCTTCTTTTAGGATTTTGCTGTTTATTTGAACACGGGGCTGAGTGAAGTCCTCCGCAAAAATCATATCGAAAGAAGGAAAGAAAAAAAAACCGCAGGAGGGTTTTCTCGGCTGGGATTTGCGCGGACTGGAAATAGGAATCGAGCCCCGGCCCCACCGCAACGTGGGGACGAACCCCCGCTCCGCTTTCGTAACGGGCTCTCTGGCTCTCCCAGCCCCAATTTCGGCCTGGTTTGTCCCGGCTGGAGCGCTCGGAGACGAACTGAGGGCCCTGAACGAAATGTGCTCCCGGGCTGGGCCCCGGCGGCGCGGGGAAGGTGCGGCCGGGCGGTTCAGGGCCGGGGGCCGCGGCCAACCCCGGCCTGGGTCCTGCTGCTGCAGGAGGGAAACTCCGCCAGAGTTTTCCCTTTTAGAGGTTTTGGTGTTTTTTTCCCTCTTTTTAAGATTTTTTTTTTCCTAAACTTCTTTTCCAGGATTTTCTCCCGCCGCCGGCGGGCCCGGGGGCATTTCTGCAGCCCCGACCTCTGCGAGGTAAGAGGGAGTCTAAAAATAATCGCGGCTCTGAATCCAGAGCCCAGGAGGACTCGTCCTTGCAAAGTCACCCTTGAATCGCTCCTCACTGGGCTCCCTCCAAGGGGAAAGGGATGAGGGTGCGAGCGAACCCAAACGGTTCAGCGGACCCCCAAAAGGGGCCGATGGTTCTAAGAGGTTTGCAGCGCAACCAAGGCCTCTGCAGCACGGACCCCATCGCCCCCAGCCCCCCCGGTCCCCAGACCGGCCGAGCCTCACGGCCTGGCGGAGGCGGGGAAACAGAAACAAAAACAACCCCCGCCAAAACAAATCCTCCCGCTTTCGGCTGGGAATGGCTCGGGTAAACCGGGCCGAGAGGGAGAGGGGGCGATCGGGAAGCAGCGGTGGTCCCGATGGGCTCCGGCCGAGGGCCTTTGCCCAGCGCCGGCTTTAACCCCTCCAAATCTTCCCTAAAAATCCGACCTCCGCCCAGGGCTGTTGTACAATTTCAAATCGTAAGGCAAGGCATGTTTAATTGGCTTTTGTACCTTTTTTTCCATTAAAAAAAATTATTGAAATCTAAATGCATTTTGCAGCTTCTCGGAGAAGAAAAGCAGGCAAGTCCTCGGCCCTCCTGCAGCACCGAGGGGTCACACACAGGGGTAGGGCAAAATGGAGCAAATCTCCCTCTCTAATCTCCAATAATCCCCTCTAATCTCAGAGTCCCTTCCAGACGCCGGTCCCTAACTTTGTTTGCGAATCAGGCTGGGAGGCACAACCCAAACCCTCTTTATCACCGGGTGCCACTTCGGGCCCGACTCTTGCCACAGCCACTCTGTAGGTTATGGGACCTGCTAAAACCCCCAAAAGCAACAACAGCTGTTAAAAAATTAAAATTATATGAAACATAACCTCCCTCTGAAATAGTCTTGCTGCAGAAGGGGTATCACGCTCCTTCCTGAAGCTTTTGTTCCCTTCTTCTACCTTTCCCTTGTCATTCTAGAAATGTAGTTATTTTAATTAAATACAATCTGGGAGACCACAGCGTTCCCCGAAGCCCTCGCACACGGTGGTCAGGGCGCGGGGACCCTTCCCTTTCCCTGCGGGGCTTCTTTCCCGCGGGGAAAGGGTGCAGTCCCCGCGGGAAACCTCTCCGCGGCCGCGCACATCCCCTCCGCGGCGGCCCGCGCTGCCTGCCTTGGCCCCACGCTGCCTCTCCCGCTCTGCCGGCCTTTTCTTCCTTTTTTTTTTTTTTTTCCAAATTTTTTTCTCTGACAGAGAGATCTTTTTCCATCTCTGCACCACCCGAGCTGGAAAATAAACCCGGGCAAAAGCTGACATTATTTCAGAAACATCCGGCAAAACCGCACTCCCCAAAGAGCCCCCCCCCCCCTTCCTCCCGACCCCATCACTTAATAACTGTGTCTTTTATTAAAAAAAAAAAAAAAAAAAAAAAAGAAAGAAGAAAGAGAAAAGAGCAGCTCCTGGGATGGGGTTGGGGAGCTTGGGGAGCCATGTGTGCCCTCCCGGCGGGCTGTCAGCGCCGGGCACGGCGGGGGCTGCAGCTCCAGGAGGGCCCCTGCCCCCTTCTCCGGCTCCCGGGGCTCGCTCGGGACGGAGCCCTCGGGATCACCGGCAGCTCCTGCTCCCCCTTGTCCCCCATCGCCCCTGGTTGCGCGTGGGGTGCGGGAGCAGCACCCGCGGCCGCCCCGCGAAGGGAAGGTGCGGTGGGGAGGGGGAGGCAGCGCGGGGGGAGCGGGCCGGGGCCGCGGGGGGCACGGGGGGGGAAGGGTTTACCTGGCACCTCCGTGTCGGAGGATTCACTGGCTGAGTTGTCGATCGGGTCTCTGGGTTCCGAGGATCTTTGCAAATGGAAGCTGGAAGCCATGTCATGGGAGGGTTGGGGTCTCAAGCTCTCGGGCAGTCTCTCCAAATTCATTCCACCTTTAAAGGAATCCATGGCAGGGGCGCCGAGCTGCCTGGGGGAGTTTGCAGGTGTTTATTCCACACAGAAAGGAACAAGGAGCTTTTTTTTTTTTGCCTTTTTTTTTTTTTTTTTTTTTTTTAAAGGCAGAAAAAAATCAACAAAAACCAAAAGCAAATCCACTTATTACTAACAGTATTATTTTAAGGGTGTCGGAAGCAGTCTGAGTAGTGCCTGGAAGGCGGCTGTCTGCTGGGGAGAGGCACGGCGCTCCGGCCGCATAGGCAGGGAAGTGGTAAAGATCCCTTATAGAGAAACGCGAGTTGCGAGTTGGACAGTTTAAAGCTAAAGAGATTAAAGTGACCTGCCCTAGAACAAATGCCTGTAGTTAAACGGGGCTCCTCCCCCTGAAGGTTAAAACCTCCCCGTCTCGCTCATGCATCACTCCATCTAGCGCTGGCCCAGCCCGGCCGCGCGGGACCTGCCTCCGCGCTCCCCGCCATCCGCGCTCCTTGCGCGCCCGCGCCCAGACCCGCGGCCCCCCGCGCCCCTGCCCGGCCCCCGCCGCCCGGCCGCCGCTCCTCCGGGCGTGCCCTCCCTCCTTCTCCTTCCCCTCACCCGCCGCCTCCTTCAAACTCGGTGATGTATTAAAAATATTCCACAAACGAATGGAAAGGTGGAAAATCCTCCCGGGATTTTCCCCGCCCGCACAACCCCCACCGGTTCTCTCCCGTTCCGCTGTGCCCTGCCGGCCGGTAGAGCAGCACGGTGTCTCCGTGGTGTCCCCGCACCCTTCCCGGCTGGGCCTCACGACCCGCGCAATCCGCGCGCCCTGCGGTGGATGCGCACCCAGCGCCCTCCTCAGCATCTCTGCGGGGGGCTGAGCGACCCCACCGCGCGTTTCAGTCCCGCGGGGCAAACACGTTCCCGGAGGGGTGCTTTGGGTTGTGTCTGAGCTGGTTTTAACCCTTTTTAACATTTTGTTTCAGGCTGAGGGTGTTACAATAACGCGGCCCGGGCCCTGCCCGGCGGCCGGGGAAGCGCAGCCCGGGGAGCAGCGGCCGCGCCATCGCTCCCGTCACGGCATCTTTCAGCACACGATTAATAACAAATAATTTCCCTGCCGCAGCCGAACTCGCGGTGACCCTCGGGAAGGGTGTCTGAGGCTCTGCCAGTCTGGGGGCCGGGGCAGCCGGTGGGGAGGGGGTGGCAAACCCTTCCCCCGGAGCCCCCCTGTCCTGCAGTGGTCACCGCTGTGCCCTATCCCAGGGCAGGGGTGCGTGGAGAGGGGTTGGTCCTTGTGCTGCTCGCGCAGGCCGGGATACGGCCTTGAGCCCTCCTGGATAACACCTCGGTGTTCGGCGAAGTGGAAAAACCCACGGGGGCAAAAAAGGTGGGAACTGGGGGTACCCGCGGGGTGCTCGCTGCACCGGGGAAGGGGATGAGGGGAAAGGGGAGAAGGACCCTGGCTGTGACTGCCTGGGGAAAGGACCCTCTCTCTCTGTTTCCTCGACTCACTTTAGTTGATCTATGCTGACACTCTATTTTGCTTTCAAATCAAGTAAAGATGTGGGAAAGAACTTTTGAACTGGTTTATGGAAAAGTGGAGGGAAGTACCGTTCCAACCGCTCAGGCTTTTTCCAGCTCCTCTGGGGTGATGGAGCCGGGCCCGCCCCGCGCCCCGGGCAGTGCCCTGCAGGGCCGATGACCCCAGGCGGGGGGACCCCAAAACTCCCAACCCCTTCACCTCTGGTCTTCAGCGCCTTTTGCAGTTCAGGGGATGTACAGGTGGGTGCTGTCAGGGTCAGCTCTCCCCAAGCTCCCCCTTTTTTTTTTTTTTTTAGTGACATCTTGATGTCCTTCTGCCTGCCCGCCGCTCCCGGCTGAACTTTGCTCAGGAGTTTGCAAACGACTGGGAATGTCGAGCACCCGAGGTGAACCAGACAACCTCGGGGCTGCTAAAGATGGACGTGGTTTAAAATGCAAATATTTACCGGGGTCTCTGGGCCTCGAGGGACTCAGCTGCTGCAGGAGCCCACGGCACGGGAAGGATGGAGACCTCCTCCCGCGGGGGAAGCAAGAGGTGGGGACGGCCTTTCTCCCGAGAACAGGGAAGGTGAATAGTTTACAAAAGTGCACCATGCCTGAGACCCTCCACAGTCCCTTTTTTCCCTTTATTTCTGTGGGCGGCAGCCCCGGGGTCGGTCTGCGAGGGCTCCTCCGCTCTCCACAAGAGCGGGACGGAGCTCGACGGGCCGTGCTTAAGGGAGGCGGTGGGACTCGATGATCATAAGGGTCTTTTCCAACCTGGATGTCTCTATGATTCCATGAGGCTGCCAACAGCCCAGCTCCGCTCCGGTTATTTTAAACCCACTGCTCACAGCAGCCTCCGGACGGGGGGTGTCATTTTTCGGTTTTTAAATGTATTTATTTTTTAATGCACCCAATTTACAGTTTTTGCTCTGCTCTATAAGGTCTGCTTTTTAAAAAATCGTTTTGGGCTCAATTCCTACAGGCTGGGCGGGAGGAAAGGCTCAGTCCGGGCACCGACGTGATTCTGGTAATGCTGGGTCCGGGTGCCTCCCGGGGCGACAGCCCCCTCTGCTCCTCCTGGGGTGTCCCCGAGGCAAACATCCCTCAAAACCGGCGTTAAATAGAGAGTAACGGGCTGGCCCTGCCTCTCCTGGCCCCCGGGAGCGGGAGCAGCCCCGATTCCCCCCTGGCCCCCTGCCCGGGCCGTGGTGAGGGTCAGGCATTTACCGCGCGCGGGTCTGCAGCGGGGGGATACATCTATATCCTGGATATATATCTAATCTGTATCTTATATAGATCTAATCTATATCATATATGTCTTCGGTGTGGATTTAAGGGCATCCTCTCGCTCCCAGTCGCACAGAGCCAAATCCTCCCGGTTATTCCCGTCGCTGGTCGTGACACCTCTGGCGTGACAACAAGAGCGCTCCCGCAGGGCGGTCACCTCCAGATCGGCGCTTTCTCCTCTCTCCTCCCCTCCAAACCCGCTCTGCTTAGAACACCTTTCGGCTGGCAAACTCTTCCACCAGGCGTTACGTCACGGGTCCGTTCGTGTGACGTCATTCATTGCATCCCTGACGTCACGTCTCACCTTTTGGCCAACCCACGACTCAGGGCAAGCCTTGATGCCCCGCTCGGAGCCAGCTCTGCTTCCCTGGACTTGGAAGTGGCCTCATGGTCCCACGGGCTAGGCAGGACGGGGTCGTCGAGCTGGGGTCCCTCTTCTCTCCCCACGTCGCTGGGGGCCGGAGGGAGTTGCGGGAAGGGAGGAAGGTCGCAGTAGTCCTCCCGTGGGGACCCCGCCAGCCGCCCGATCCTGCCAGGACACCCCTGGGGAGCCGCGACCTGCGTGGGCGTGGGAAGGGCCGGGGAGAGGCGGAGGGAGGGTCGGGACCCGCGGGGAAGCGGGTGGCAGGAGGGCTTTGCGTGGGAACCCCTGCGTGGGACAGGCCAGGGAGCATCCCCGCTCCGCGCCCGCGCAGCCACCGCGCTCCCGGCTCCCCCCGGCTGAGGACTGCGTCAGGGATCTGCAAAAGGCTGGAAGCCCGCAAATAAACCGCTCCGCTTCCTCCTGCTATAAATAACCCCAGAACTAGGGATGGCTCTGAGAAATAAATCAGCGCTGGCCACGCCGGTGACAGCCCCATGGAGAAGAGGAGACGTGTTTGACCGAGAGCAGGACTCCCGCTGTCCCCGAGGGGACCGGGCCGTGTCGCCCCCCCAGGTGCCTGGAGAGAGTCCCTGTTTTCGGAGTGGGGCTCCCATTCCCTGCTGGCTGCGGTGGTTGCAGCCAATGCCAAACCACCTGGGCCGTATATCAGGTGGTGAAGTTCAGTCTCTGCCAGCTTTTCCTTTTCAGATTTATTAGCTTTGTATAGACTCAGATCCAGTCTATAAATTATTGGGAATTGTTACAAAAATGAAGGCATCTCCTCCCAAGCGCACCTCTGCCCGAGAGGAGAGGGAAGCCCTCTGAAAAATAGAACTGCAGGGAGACAAGAGAGGAGGGAGAAGCTCTCCAACACATACCCAACCAAATTCAGTCCAGCCAGACCCAACCATAGTCCAACAAAACCCAACTAAACCAAACTCAGTACAACTAAAGCCAATCCACCTCAAGGAAACTCGAGTTCATTCAGTCAAACCAAACCAAACCAAACCAAACCAAACCAAACCAAACCAAACCAAACCAAACCAAACCAAACCAAACCAAACCAAACCAAACCAAACCAAACCAAACCAAACCAAACCAAACCAAACCAAACCACAACGAATGCAACCAAACCAAATGAAACCGCAATGAATGCAACCGAACCAAGCCAATCCAAACCCAAACAGGGCAATCCCAGCCAAACCAAGACCAAGCCAAGCCAGCCAACCTCTCCCGCTGCCCTCAGACGGGAGCTGCTGCAGGAAAACAACTTTTAATAACGAAACCATCCAAAAAATGCCCACCGACCACGCCTTTGCTGGTGCGTGGCTCTGACCCACGGGATTCCCACGCGTGTGGGAAGAAGCAGAGGCCGGGGATGCGCGCAGGAGTGGGCGCAGGACAGCCCCGCGGAGCAGGGAGCGCTCTGGGGGGGCCGTGGTTGCTGTTGCGGTGTAACGGGGGGGTGGTGTCCGTCGGGGCAGTGTTCAGCCGGTGTCCTGCCCCAAAACAGCATCACCCCAAATGAAAAGCATGATCCTTACACACAACATGGAGACCCACGTTTACGCCCCCGCACAAGGCAAAGCTCCACACGCCCCGCGCGACCGCGGCCCCGTCCTGAAGGGGAAACGAAGCAAACCCCAAAACGGTGAAAGACGCCCCGGAACCCCCCAACCTCCGTCGGAGGCAGAGCCGGGTTCCCCCCAGGCCGGGTGGAGCGGGAAGCAGAGGGAGGGAAGAAACCCAGCCCGAAGCGCGTGTTAAATCGCTCAGGAGGGGAAGGTGGAAAATTACGCTGGCTCCTGGCCGGCCTGTCCTCCTCTGAGCAACCAGGACAGCAATTTTCCTAAGAAGTAGAGCAAAACGAAATTAGCCCCTTTTGGACCCGCAGCCTTCGTCCTTTCGAGTGTCGGCCAAGCCTCCCCCTTCCGCGGGAACGCGGGGCCCCTCCGCGCCGCGGATGCTCCGCGGGAGGGTTTCCACGGGCCGCTGTCGGTCCCTCGGCCTCCCACCGCCTCCCTGCCCCATCCCGCTTCCCTCGGCTCGGCGGACCCTGCCCCACCGCCTTGGCTCTCCCCGCCATCGAAAAGCGAAGGGGGAAACGGATT